TAGCTCTCTGGGATCAGGGAGAATCATGTTAGACTTAGACTAGAAAGAATCATAGAGTCATTTAGTCCAATCCTCTAATTTTACAGATGAGGAAACCGAGCTCTAGAGCCATTAAATGGCTTTTGAAAGGTCACATAGATGGTCAGTGGCTGATCTGGGCATTGAACTCTGGTCCTCTGACTTGAAGTTCAGGGCTCCAATTTCAGCTCTCTTTCTAGTTTTCCCCATGTTGCTCCCTTCTGATCTCTTCTTTGTATTCTCAGTATCCTTCATATAGGCATTTCATAAATGTTTCTTGATTAGAAGTGAATGGATTGGGGCAGCTAGATGATGCAGTGTATAGAACACTGGCCCTGGATTCAGGAAGATGACTTGAGTTCAATTCTGGCCTCAGACACTTGACACTTACTAGCTGTGTGACCCTGGCAAGTTACTTCACCCCATTGCCTTGAAAAAAAAAAGTGAATGGGATTAATACACATCATCTTCATTTTTATATTTTTATTTTATGTTTTATATATCAATATATTTTATCTATTTATATACCAGATGCTTATAATATATAAACATAATTATAACATAACAATTATTATATTTATATAACATGTATTTCTATACCATGACAGGTTCCATGGAATTAATTATTAAACATGAACCATCTTCATTGTTTAGAGCAGGGCCGAACAAAGTGTCACGAAGAAGAGAACATTTTAAAAATGTGACGGTGCTTTACTTTACCTGCTTCTGGGTACTCTACAGCTGCTTCTGGGTCCAGAGTCCAGCTTTCACATACCCCCTTTTCTCAAGGTAAAGACGAAACTTCCATCACCAATCACAACCTCTCCACTATTCAGACGTTCTAGAATGCCCTAGAAAGAAAGGTTCTGTTTTTTTTTTTAAAGACCTGAGGAACCCTTCTTTTTAGGGAACAGGACATGGATAATGGTTTTATGACACAGACTGAGGAGAGTAGCCAGATAGATAGAGGGAGAACTAGGAGAAAATACTGTCACAAAGCTTCAAGGAAGAATGAAGATTTAGGGCAAACTGGAGACCAGCAGTGGCAAATACTGCAGAGAATGAAGAAGATTGAGGACTGAGAATGAAACATTGGATTAGCAATTACAAGATGATTGGTAAACTTGGGGAGCGCGGTTTCAAGTGAGGGTGGAGGTTAGAAATTAGACTGCAAGGTGTAATAGGCCAGGTCTGGCTCAGACTAGTCCCTGGTAATTTAGGTTCCATATTGAGTGAAATAAAATATTTGTAGGAAATTCTGAAACAAAAGGAGGTTTACTTAGAGAGCACACAACAAGGATACAGTAGTTGGTTTGGGTAAATGTGGCCCCCCTCTTAATTTAGAAACATGTCTGTTCAGCAGGGCAGGCTATGAAACATTTTTTCACCTTACAGCCAACCCAGTAATGAATCTCTCCAAATTTAATAGCTGACATTTACATAGCACTTTAAGGTTTGCAAAATGATTTATAGTTAAATTTCATAATAACCCTTAAGGAGTAGGTGCTATACCCATTTTACAGATGAGGAAATGGGTTCAGGATAGTTGAGTAACTTCCAATGGCCACACAGAAAGCGTCAGGCAGTTTGGGACTCAGCTTTCTCATGCAAAGTCTAACTTATCCCACTGTATGGCTTGAGTTTTGATATAGCTGATGCCAAGTCACTTTTTCTGACAGGTTCAATAGCTTTTTAAGCATATGTCTAGCTTGAAATAATCGTGATATCATCACAGAGACTGTTACTTGTCTTCCTGCTTTAAATAGCTAGTGGACATATATCCAGTTCATGTAATAACTATAACTTTTTGGATTGGATCTATGATTTCACTGGGCTCAGGAACTCTCAAAGATCAATTGGTACCTCATTTGCGTGTAGAATCACAGAATTGCCTGGGCCACTGAGAGGTTAAGTGAATTATCCAGGTCCACACAGCCAACTTGTTTCAGAGATGGGACTTGAATCTAGGTCTTCCTAATTCTAAGACTGATTTCTTATCCACATGTTACTTTGCCACTCCAAAAACTCTAATAAAGTACAGGGGCGTGTGTCTTTTCTAACCTCATTTCTCTCTTTAGGATAGGAGTTAGGTCATGAGATGCTCACTCCCCTCACCTTTTCCTCCGTGTGTATATTCATCTTCCCAAACACTCCATTTGTGTAAAACAGTGAGTTCCTCCCCTTTCTTCTCCGTGTGTATCCTAGTATATTCCCTTTTGTCTCCATTTTCTTTACTTTCTTACAACCAACAAACAGAACAAACTCATATCCAGGTCCTGGATTTGCTTTATTTAATGCCCCCTTCCATTCTTAAAATAAATAAAAATTTGAAAGGAATACCTGCTTCTTATCTATTTGAATAAACTGCTTCATCATCATTTATCCTCTTTCAATTGCTCAAATATATTCACCTTTGTAAGTTTTCCGTAATTATTGTGTTTGCATTTCAAAGTTTTTACTCAACTCTGGTCTTTTCATTAGGAAAGATGAAAAGTCCTCTATATTCGACTAAATATCCATTTAGCCCTTCTAAGATTATACTCAGTTTTGCAGGGGGTTATTCTTGCTTGTAACTTTTTATTTATTGCCATTTGGAATATCATATTCCAATATTTTCTCAACTTTATAGTAAATGCTTCTAATTCTTGTGTTATCTTGACTATGGTGCTTTGGTACCTGAACTACTTCTTTATGACTGTTTGTAGTATTTTTTTTCTTTTTAGCTCTATAGTTTGGCTATAAAATTCCTTAGTGTTTTCAGCTTAGGATTTCTCTCAGTTGGTAATTAGTGGATTCTTTTTCATTTTTACTTCGTTCTCTGGTTCTAATAGCTTTGGTTGCACTAACTTCTGTAGCCTTGACAAGCCCCAGTGGGATGGTAATGCTCACACAAGTCTCGGACTTCCTATATAACTCTTGGTGCTGATGTTAAGGTGCTGGGTTGGTTTTGTTTTCCAGTGAGGTTCTTAAGTGCTTAGAAGAATGCGTAGCTGAGCTCTGTCTCCCTGTGCAATGAACTCCAGAGACTGGCCTTCTTTTCTGCTTCAGTTCTAACAACATAAAACCAGAATTTAGCTTCATGCACCCAAAGACTATAGCCCAGGAAGTTAGAGCTCATAGTTAGTGTACCAAGAAGTCTTTCATGTCAACACTGAACAAGATTACATACTGAAATTTTCGCTATATTTGCACACTGTTGATTCCAACTTGGGGAGAAGAAAAAACCCTCAAAGCACTTCAAAGCCTATTTCTGATCTTAAACATGAAATCAACTAGAGTCCCCCAAAGAATAAAAACACCTGCTTTGGTTGGGTCTCTATAACATGAAATTATCTGAAAGATCTACAATTTCATTAGGTTCGTAGGAAACTTCCAGTTTATGATTTAGTAGGTAAATCCTAGAGAGTTGTCTGTGGCATACAGAGGTTAAATGATCTGCCCAGAGGCACACAGCCAGTAGGTGCTGGATCCAGATCATTGTAATTCTAGTCATAAGGTCACAGATTTAGAGCTGAAAGGGCCCTTAGAGGCCATCTAATCCAATCTCTTCTTCTCCCCTATTTTGTAGATGAGGAACTGAAGCCAAAAGGTTTAGATTTCCCCAAGGTTACACAGCTTCCATTTATGTGATAGGACTTGAACCTGCTTCCTGTTGACTCTAAATCCAATACTCTATCAAATATGTGCTGTTTCAACCCCTGAATTCTAGTCACCACATGCTCTCTACCGTCTAGGATATTAAACATGTAGATGAACAATTATATATTGTCAAGATTTGGGATTTATTTTCTATGCTAAATTTGTGGCTGAATATCTAAATAACAGTCATACAACAGTAATTAAATAATCAATATTTTACTTCAGGGGGCCGTCCCCTCCCCTCTTCTGCCATATTTACTGTTCCTAGATCAGTTTTGAATGAATGCACATTAAGCTCTCTGAACTGTTAAATCCTTGAAAACCCTGAGACAGGAGGGAAGGTGTAGGAATCCCTGGGCTGATTAGGCTACCTCCAGCTTCTGTAGCCTGTTGTAAAAGACAGCCCCCCCCCTTCTTTTGCTTGTGCTTTTGAAGGCAATCGGGGTTAAGTGACTTGCCCAGGGTCACACAGCTGGTGTCTGAAGTCGCGTTTCAGCTCAGAGCTTCCTGACTCCATTGCGCCACCTAGCTGCCCCAGACAGCTCATTTTCTAAGTTCATCTTGTCTCTGCCATAAAATCCATTCCCGACCCCATCCTTCCCAAATTCCTGTACTGACCGAGAGAAGAGAGTTGAACCTTTACGGATACGAGCATCTCTTTGTATCACTTTCAACCAAGTTTTTGCAACTTAGTTGAAGCCCCCTCCAAACATTTGGAAAGGATGTTCCGGTGGGGGGTGGGGGGATGGGGCAGGGAGCTCAGGTGTGTGTTAGGGGGACATACGAAAATCTGTGGACGGTAAAACCAGAGAGACTGGAGAGGGGTGGGGGGGGAGATGTGAAGTGGGAGAAGGCAGGCGTGGGCCCATCAAGACAGCTTTGCAAATCTGGACTGAGCGAGGACGGTGGCTGCAGTGATGATGGGTGGTGATGGGCGGAGAGAAACACACAGAGAGAGAAATTCAGAAAGACAAGAGACAAAGAGACAGACAGGAAACCTCTCCCCTCTTCTCCCTCCCCGCCCCCCGCAAAACCCCAACAACAAGACGCACAGGGCAACAGAAAGACAAGGCAGAGATAGACAGACAGCTGGACTGACGGACAGACAAAAAGGACAATTAAATTGGCTCCTCACCTTCTTTACCCTTTCCCCCCCGACCCGTGCCATCTCTCCACTGTTGGGACAACGCTTGGCCCAGAGACTGAGAGGGCAAAGTGGCTGTCTTGCACCTGAGAAGTAGCTGGAAGCCGTGGGGTGAGCCTGGCCCTCCTCTTTCTCCCGCCCACATCGGGATAGGGGTGGGTCCTAGGCCACCCCCGGGAGTTGTTCAACACCAGTCCTGGGCCGAACTGCATGCTGCCCCTAGGGAGCCATTACTCGAGCCAGGGGGCCTGATTACTCAGAAACGTCCAGGATCATTGCTTGAGGAATCACCTGGGAATTGTTAAGGGGCTGCACGTCTCCTGAAGTCTGCCTGTCCTCCTATACCCAAGCTATGCTTCTGGGTGGCCTGAAGCAGCTGAGGTTTCAGCTGCGAACAGTAGAGTCCACCTTGACCCGGGGCAGCTGGCTGCGGTCAGTGTGCCGCAGCAGCAGCGGGCTCCCCTTCCAGGAAGGGTGAGTGCTAGAAATCGGAGTCCAGGGCCTGCTTGGGACTGGGCTGGAGCGGGAGAGAAGAGGTGAGGGTGGAAGTGTTGGAGAAAAAAGAGCTGGAAGTTCAGTCTGTGTTTCTAAGAGGCTGAACCTGAGAGGGAGAGGTGAAGCTGTCCAGCTCCTTTGCAATTTATCGTTTCTGAGTACCACTATAGGATTTAAGGCTGGTAGCAGAGCGTCTTTGCTTTTTAATATTGCCATTCTTACCGGTCAAGAGCCTTCACTTTAGGAAGTGCCACTTAGCTCATATTACGGTTTAATTTAATTTGATTTCCCTAATCTGAATAATAAATAGCGCAAACGCCTTCAGGGAAAGGATGGCATGTTTTTTTCTTCTTTATATTCCAGCGACCGGTGCTTGGCGTTCCCTCCCCGACCTGTATAGGCAGCTTCCAGTGAGCAGCACCAGCTGTTAACCCAGCGGGGCATCTTCTTTGCAACTTAGTCTTAGCAAATTGCCCAAGACACTGAGAGGTTACCTGGCTTGCCCAGAGTCAGACAGCCAGTAAGCTTCAGAGGCGGGAATCTTCCTGATTCCCAGGACGTTTCTCTCTCCCCCTTACCCTACAATGCTTCTCACCTGGTACTTGTATGCAGCCAATCAACAGTTGTTGAATTGTTGACTCTGTTCGCTACCAAGAGTGAAATAAAGTTTTGGCAGAGATGACTTGATCAGCGGTTAAAAGGATTATTTGCTGACAGTTAAATAAGAAAATTTATGCTCACAAATCCCATTTTGGTAACTGCTTTATTACATTAGCCAGATAATCATAAAGTCTCTGTTTTACTTTGTGCTGTGTAAACAAAGCTGCCTTTTCAGATGACAAATGATGTTTATTTGGGAGGGTTGTTAGATTAAAGTAACAAAAAAAGAGTCACCCAATGTAACATAGATGGAAGAAGAGAAATATGGTGTGGCTCCAGTGAGAGGAGTAGAGTTGGAGGAGAAGACAATTTCAGCCTCTTGTTTGTTGTACTTGTGCATAGAGTCACTTGGTTTCTGTGGGTCTTAGTTTCCCTATTTACAAAATAAGGGGATTGGACTAGTGTTTTCTTGGGTCTCTTATAGTTCTAAATCTGATGCTTTTGTAATAAACAAATAGATAACTTTTGATCCTGTTTGAATATAAAAGGCTATGCTTGTATTTCTACATTCATACTTCCCTTAACTGGCTATCAAAATATTTAAGTACTCTCTCTCTCTCTTTAACCAAAATTCTTATGAAATTCTAGAAAGGAAATAAATCATATTTTGGTGTAATGGGCAGACAACTTTACAAATCTCCAATGGAATGTTTTAACAAAGCACTAGACTGGGATTAAAAAAGGAAAAAAGCATTTGTTAAATACCTACAATGTGATAGGCACTGTGCTAAGTGCTTTACTTATTTGATATTTACTACAACTCCACAAAGTAGATGTTATTATTATCCCCGTTTTACAATTGGGGAACCTGAGGCAGAGGTGCAAGTGACTTGCCTGCGGTCACACAGTTAGTAAGTATATAAGACCACATTTGAACTCAGCTCTTCCTGACTCCAGGCTGAGTGCTCTATCCACTGTACCACGTATCTGTCAGGGTTAAGAGACCAAGGTTCTAGTCTAAGCTTTTTTACCTACTAGTCCAGGGACTTAGGTCAGTTGTTTGCTCTCTGTGTCTCACTTTTTTTATTTGTAAAATGAGGAAGTTGAACAAGATAATTTCTAAGATCAAATTTCAGTTCTGATATTTTATACTTCTGTATCCCCACTGAGAAATACACGTGTCTGGGATTTAAAATTTTATTTGCTATGGAAAATAGCCAATCCACAAAAACATGGAACATGTTGTTTTTGGTTCAAAGTACAAAAGGAGATGATAAAAAGTTATAGTTTAAAGAACAGTTAAAAGAATAAAGAAAAATGGATCTTTATATTGAGTACTGTGGTATAGAAGAGAGACAGTGTGATATTGTAGTTAGGTAGACTTCTCAGAGTAAGAAAGTCCCTTGGAGTTCTAGTCCTACCTTTGACACATGCTAGTTGTGTGACCTTGAAGAAATCTTTTTTTTTCATTTTATTTTTAATTTATGGAATAAAACAAGCATTTCCATAACATAGTAGAATAAAAAAGATGATTGTACTTGAAACTGCAAATATACTATGTCCAACTTGCTATTCCTTTTAAATATATAAAAATTATCAAGTAATTTTTAAATTTAATTCTTCTCTCCCTTCTTTCCCCCAGAGATGGCTGCTACTAGACACAATAGATCTACAAACACACACACATCAATTTATTCTATGCATCTCTTTTTCAGTTCTTTCTCTGGATGCAGATAACGTCTTCTTTCATATATCCTTTATAGTTAATTTGGGTATTTATAATAGACAAAATAACTTTTTCACTTGAACTCATTCTTAAAACAATATTGCTGTTACTGTATACAATGTTCTCTTGGTTCTTCTCATTTCACTCTTCATTATTTTGTGCCAGTCTTTCCATGTTTTTCTAAAATCATTGAGCTCATCATTTCTTACAGCATAGTAGTATTCCATCACAATCACATACCACAACTTGTTTACCCATTCCCCAACTGGTGGGCATCCCTACAATTTCCAGTTCTTTGTCACCACAAAGAGAGCTGCTATAAACATTCTAGGACATATAAATGCTTTTCCTTTTTTCTCTAATCATCTGCAAATAGACCAAGTAGCGGTATTGCTGGGTCAAAAGGTATAGGTGGTTTAATAACTCTTTGGGCATAATTCCAAATTGCTCTCCAAAATGGTTGGATCATTTCACAATTCCTCCAACAGTGAATTAGTATACCAATTTTTCCACATCCTTTTCAACATTTGTCACTTTTCCCTTCTGTCATTTTAACCAATCTGGTAGGTGTAAAATGATATCTCAAAATTGTTTTAATCTGCATTTCTCTAATCAATAATGATTTAGAACATTTTTATATGATTAAATTGTTTTGATTTCTTCATTGGAAAACTGGCTGATCATATCCTTTGACCATTTATCAACTGGGGAATGACTTGTATTCTTATAGATTTGACAAAGTTCTTTATATATTTTAGACATAAGACCTTTATTTGATAATTAAAAAAATTTCCCCCAATTTTCTGCTTTCCTTCTAATCTTGGCTACATTTGTTTTATTTGTACAACCCTTTTAAATTTAATGTAATAAAAATTATCCATTTTATACCTAATTATGTTCTTTATCTCTTATTTATTCATAAATTGTTTACCTATCCACAAGTCTGATAAGTAATATGCCTGTAAAGTCTCTCCTTATATCTAGGTCATGTATCCACTTTGACCTTATCTTGTTAAATGGTGTGAGATATTTGTCCATGTCCAATTTCTGCCATACTGTTTTCCAGTTTTCCCAACAAATTTTACCAAATAATGAATTCTTATCCCAAAATCTTAAGTCTTTACACTTGTCAAGTACAAGTTTATGTTTATTTGCTGCTGTAAATTGTATGTCTACTCTACTCCATTGATCTACCTTTCTGTTTCTTAGCCAGTACCAATTAGTTTTGATAATTACTGCCTTATAACACAGTTTAAGATCTGCTACTGCTAAGCCTTCTTCCTTTATACTTTTTTTCATAATTTCCTTTGATATTCTTGACTTTTTGTTTTTCCTAATGAATTTTGTCATTTTTTCTAATTTAGCAAATTAAGTTTTTGGTAATTTGATTGGGATGACATTGAATATATAAGTTAGTTTGGGTAAAATTGTCATTTTTATTATATTGGCCCTGTGTACCCATGGACAATTAATATCTTTCCAGTTATTTGAATCTGATTTTATTTGTGTAAAATTTTTTAAAAGTAATTTTGTTTATGTAGTTCCTGGATTTGTTTTGGTAGGTGTTTTTTGCTGTCTAGAGTTTCTAATTGGTTAACTAACTTTTTGTAATTTTCTTGAATTGCTTTTATTGTTTCCTGATTTTTCCTCATTCTCTTTTATTTGATTTTTAAATTCCTTTTTAAGTTCTTCCAAGATTTCTTGTTGGGCTTGTGACCATTTTACATTACTCTTTAAGGTAGGAGTGGCTTTTTTATTTTTACTTTTAACTTCTCAGTGCTTCAGTCAACTCTATAAATTGTAGCATATGTACTACTGACTGATCTTGGTAGATGGAGTTTCTACAGTGTGAGTTGTTTATACGAATTAAATCACAGGGAGCAGGAGGAGTAGAAAGAGGAGAAAGAGAAGGAAGGAGAAGAAGAAGAAGAAGAATCCCAAGTTTACCACTTCTTGCCTGTGTGACCTTTGACAAGTTATTTAATATATCTGGGCCTCAGTTTCCCCATCTATAAATATTGGGATGGGATTAAATTACCTAAAAAAATCTCTTCCAGTTCTAAGTTGATAATCTTTTTTAAAATTTAGGGACAGATTACATTTCCCTTTGCAACATGGCTAATATGGAAATTTTTGCATGACTGCACATACAGTCTATATCAAATCACTTGCCTTCTCGAGGTAAGGGGAGGGAGAAAATATGGAACTCAATATTTAAAAAAGTTTAAAATTGTTTGCATGTAATTGAGAAAAATAAAAATTAAATTAAAAATATTTAGAAACAGAACAGAATTTAACTATTAGGCTCTTCTCATTCAAAATAAGAGAGATAATTCAAATTACTTGAAATTTGGGGAAAGTAAATGTTTGATGATCTTTTCAAGTTCGTATTTGTTTTCAATATTGTGCAAAGCAGGAAACCTTATGACTCATGTTGTATATGATAGGGTCCTCTGGAGTAGAAGCTATTGCCAGGAAGAAGGGACTTGATGACTAAGATAGAACAAGATAGCAAGGAATCCATAATAGATGAACTAAACTGAAGGGAAAGGATCTAAGAGTGGAAGAGTATAAAAGATAAGCTTTGAGAGACTGTGAAAGCAAGAAGTCAAAGACAAATCAACCCTCATTAGCTGTTTGACATGGAGAACAGGTAATACCTAACAAAAAAAGAAGAAAGAACTTTTGAGAGTTAACTCATAGCACCTGAAGCTCAGGGCACAAAAAAAGTTTCAAAAACACTTATCTAGTAAATAAATAAATCCACCATAAGCCAAATAATTTGGGTTTCTGGCCTTATTTTTTCTTTTTTGTAAGAGCAGGGCATTTAGTAGAGAAAGTCTTGAGACCATAAATACAGTATTGGAAATAACTGAGTATGTGAGGTCAGCAAAATGTATATGAATAAGTAATAGTGATGGGTGGTCTCAGTGGTTTTTTGTTGTTACTGTTGAGTCATTTCAGTTGTGTCTGACTCTTCATGAGCCCATTTGGAATTTTCTTGGCATGGTTGCTATTTTCTTGGCATGGTTTGTCATTTCCTTCTTCAGTTCATTTTATAGATAAGGAACTGAGGCAAACAGGGTTAAGTGACTTGCCCAGAGTCACACAGCTAATAAGTGTCTGAGGCTGGATTTGAACTTATGAAGAGGACTCTTCCTGACTCCAGTCCCAGCACTGAATCCACTGCACCACAGAGTACTGGAACTGGAGTTAGGAAGACTTGAGTTCTATCTACTGTGCCACCTAGTTACCTCTGTTTTAAAAAGTACTCAATTCTTGATGGTTTTAATAAATAAACTATTGCTACTTACCCAATTCTCCAAGAGCTAGATGTACTGTAACTCCATATAGTGCCTGCCTGCTTGGATTTCAGAGAAGCATTTACACATGAGAAATGATTTGGATCTATATGAAGGAGTATGGAAGATAAGTGACTTTTAAATTGTTTTTCAGAGAAGGGAAGGCATCTTCCTTTTCAGAAACAAGATGGAAAGACACAGCAGAGACAGTAATCATTGGAGGTGGCTGTATTGGTGTGAGCCTAGCTTACCATCTGGCCAAAGCTGGAATGAAGGACGTGGTGCTTTTGGAAGCATCGGAACTCACTGCTGGATCTACATGGCATGCAGTAAGAAAACTGAGATTAACCTATTCATTCATTCAACAATCATTTAATGAGCCTCTCCTATATTCAGGGCATTGTGCTAGGGAACGGAGATAAGATGGAGATGTACATGTAATTAAGACATCATTCCTGCACTCCACTTTCTACCATAAACTCATTACCTATGATTTCTCCCCTTTTCCCTTGTTAGGGAACTCCCAGATTTAAAAAAAAAAAAACAATACCTCCCACTATCAATGTAGGTGGGTGCCTCCTCTGAAATTTACAATCTTAGTGAGATGTTTGGGGCCACTAAAATTTGGGTTTTGCCCAGGATCACATAGCCAATATGTGTGAGGCAAAATTTGAACCCACATCTTTCCTGAATCAAAGGCCAACTATACCACTCTATTTCCATACCAGGGGTTCTTGACCTTTTCCCTATCATGGGACAGTCTGATAAAACCTATGGACCCCTTTCAGAATGCTGTTTTTAAATTCATAAGATAAAATGCATGGGATTACAAAGGAAACCAATTTTATAAAATAAAATTATTACAATATTTTAAAAAAGGTCCACAAACCCCAGGTTAGGAAGCCCTACAGAGTCTATAGTAAATGCACAAGAATGATTGTATATAAACTGAAGGGAAGAGAATTTTTTCATTTTGGAATCAGATAACCTGGGTTTAAATCCCAGCTCTGTCACTTCTTACTGTGAGACTGTGGATAAATCATTAAATTTGACTAAGGGTAAGCAGGAGAATCTTTTGCTGTCTGTAGACTTTTTATTAAACGGAATAGGAGGATCCTCTAAACTCTTTGGCAGCCTTCAAGGCCATTGTTTACTTAGTTACTTCCCCAAAAGAAGAATAGTTCTAATGTTTATAGCATTTCCATCACAGCAATCCTTTGAGGTATGTAGGAAATGTTTAAATTCTGGTCCCCAGAAAAGGAATCTGAGATGAAGGGACTATATTCACACAGTAAGTTAAGTGGCAGAGCTGAAACTCTTACCCAGGTTGCGCTGACCAGTTCATTGCTTTTTCTATCAAACCCCTTACTTCCTTACCAACTCCTCTTCACTCCCCCTATAGAGCTCATCACTGGGAGTTCCCTATATCAGTGAAATCACAAGTCTGGTCCACTTCAATACAATCTCCACACCTACAATTACTGCAAATAATTGTATTTGGAAGAAGTATTCATTGTTGGATTCATAATGATTACTTTGTTCCTGGGATATCTCTTGCTGAAAATGTTCACTCTGGCCTCATAATTTGCTAGACTACTTTGTATCTTTTCTTTATCTCCACAACCCCCTACTTTGTATTATATTTATTTTTGATCGTGTTGGGGGCAGAGAACAATTCAATGGTGCCTTGCACATGGTGCTTTAATAAATGCTTTTTGATCTTATTTTTTTGTTTGCTCATTTGAATTGATGTCAAGGAAGCTCATAAATTTGTCACATCGTCGCAACATCCTATTCTGAAGGACTAAACCTGGTACTTTCATTCATTTATTCGCTGATAGATGTAGAGAATGTCCCAAAAGTCTTAGGTCATTTTTTATGCTATTAAAGCTTAAAACTGTTCTAAGACTTTTGGGACACTGTTTGCGAGGCACAGCCTGAAATTCAGTGATTAATCCCTTGCCCTCAAGGAGCTTCCAATCTAGTAGAAGAAATAATTTACATATTTACTTCAATAATTCATTTGACCTGGGGTCTCACTGACATGTGGAGATTCCATTGGGAGCAGCTCAAAACTCACCCACGACTCCTTAATTCTATTTAATTTTTGATGTCACTGCACAGATCTTCAGAGTATTTACCCAGAGAAACAAGGACCTTGAAGGATTTTTTTCTTTTATATTTTGTGGGTATCAGTGGAATGTTAGGGCTAGTCATGCTATACACATGATCACATATTTCTTCCATGTTGTTTCTTAACACCACTTCTAAAATCATTATATAGCTTTCTGAGCTTTGCAAAGTGCTTTATACATACAATCTCATTTTAATTTCACAACAACCCTGGGGTAGGTGTTTTTATTATCCCCATTTTACAGTTCAGGAAACTGAGGCAGATAGGGTCGCAAAGGTAATAAGTGTTTAAGCCTGTTTGAATTCAGATCTTTGTGACTCTAAGTTCAGTGCTCTAGCCACAACACAACCTAGTTGTCAAATAGAAATAATTCTAATAAAAAAGAGACTCACTAGTGCATGAGAAGTCCAAAAAGCTCTATAGAAGTTCAGAAAACAGAAAGATACATGTTGGACTGAGAGAATAGGGAAAGTTTTATGGTGGAAGTACCATTCAAGCTGAGCCCCTCATTCAATCCTGGGGACTGATAACTGTAGTATTAGCTGTTTAATTCTCAATGAGTAACTATAAAAATTCTTAAGGTGCTGTTTTATTTATTTATTTATTTTGCTTTGCCAAGGCAGGTTTAACGACTTATTTTCATCCTGGAATAAACTTGAAGAAAATACATTATTACAGCATTAAGCTTTATGAAAAACTGGAAGAAGAAACTGGGCAGGTAAATGGATTAAATGAAAGAATTCCTATTTAGATCAACATTGGCTTTGATGAGCAAGGTTCATAAAGAGATTTAAACTGATGAAAATGCTCTCCTTTTCAGTTTTATTGCTTCTTCTCATCTGTGTGTGTGAGAACATGCAATTACCTCAGTAGCACACAATTATGATATATTGTAGGACTCAGATTAGAGTGTGCTGTGGGAATCTCTGGGATTCATTTAAAAATCAATTCAACCTACAATATCTTAGAATTTAGTCTTTATATAATCAGTTTTTCTGCCTACTTTTAAAAAAAGGAAATAGGAAGCCACTCTCAAAACAAAACACCAGTATTATATGTAGAAATCTATAAGTTGAGGTCTTTCTGTATTTGGCCTCTGAGTTGTCTGAAAGTCACATATGCCAGATTTTCCGTATGTCTCAACAACTATAATGGCAACAACAACTGAGGTTTATTTCATGCTTTAAGCTTTACAAAGAATTTAATATATGTTATTTCATTTGAGCCTCACAATAACCTACTAGGTTAGTGAAGCTATTATTATTCCCAATAGATTATAAGCTCCTTGAGGGCAGGGACTGTCTTTTGCCTCTTTTTGTATCCTTAGTATTTAGCACAGTGCCTGGCACAGAGAAGGGGCTTAATAAATGCTGACTGATTGTTTTTATGGATTTATTTAAAAACCATTCATAGCCCAATGGATAATATCTAAAATAAGTGATCCCAGAATTCAAGGTGCCAAAGAGCTTTCCCTTCATCTACTGGCTTATTCCCTACAATCTACAAACAAACATGTTTATGTCTCCCCTAGCCTGAAAAAACCCTCACTTGATCCTTGCATTTCTGCTAACTCTCATCCTATAATCTCTTCTGCCCTTTGTAGCCAAACTCCTCAAAAACTCCATCTACAACAGTTGCTTCCACTTTCTCTCCTCTCACTCTCTACTTAACCCCTGGCAGTTCAGCTTCCAACCTTATCATTCCATTGAAACTGATCTCTCCAAAGTTACTAATGATCTCCTAGTTGTTAATCCTCTTCTCAGTCCTTATTATCTGTGACCTCTCAAGCAGTCTTTCACACTTTGATCCCAATCTCCTCCTTAATATTCTTTTCTCTCTAGGTTTTCAGGTCACCACTCTCTCTTGGTTCTGTTCCTACTATCTAACCACTCCTTCTTAGGCTCCTTTGCTGGATCCTCTTCCAGATCATGCCCTCTAACCATAGGTGTACCACATGGTTCTGTCCTGGGTCCTCTTCTCCCTCCTTCACTTAGTGATCTCAACAGCTCCCATAGATTGAATTACCATCTTTATGCTGATGATTCTTAAATCCCACTCAACTCTCTCAGCTGACCTGCAATCTGGCATCTCCAACTGCCTTTCAGTTGTCTTAAACTGGATGTCCAGTGGACATCTTAAACTCAATATGCCCCAAACAGAACTCTAAACCCTAAACCCTCCCCTCCTATCTTCCCTGTTACTGTACAGGGCAAAACCATTCTTCTAGTCCCTCAGGCTTGCAATCCAGGAGTTATCCTGGACTCCTCACTATCTCTCACCCTCCACATCCAAGGCTTGTCAACGCCATCATTGCAACATCTCTTGAATATACCCCTTTCTCTCTTCTGACACTGCTCCTGCTCTAGTGCAGGCCCTCATCAACTCTTGACTAGATTATTGGGCTAGTCTGCTGGTAGAACTGCCTGCCTCAACTGTCTCCCTACTCCAATCCATCCTCCATTCATTTGCCTAAGACATGTGCCATGTCACACCCCACCCCCAACTCAATAAATTCCAATGGCTCTATTTTGCCTCCAGGGTCAAATACAAGATGCTTTATTTGACATTCGAAGCCCTTTTTATAAAGGTTATCCTAGGCCCTTCCTACCTCTCATGTCACACCTTACTTCTTGCTATGTAATCTTCAATCTAGTGACATGTGTCCTGGCCTCCTGGCTATTTCATGAACAAGACACTCCATCACTAAGCTCCAGGCATTTGCTCTGTCTCCCATGCCTGTAACATCTACTCCATTCTGACTACTGACTTCCTTGGCTTCCTTTAAGTTCAACTGAAATCTCACATTTTACTGGAAACCATCCCTAAACCCTCTTAATCTTAGTGCTCTCTCATTGTTATTTCCTATATATCCTTAAATAGAGCTTGCTTTGTGTATATGTGTTTGCATGTTGTCTCTCCCTGCATTGAGGGCTGTCTTTCGCCTCTTTCTGTATCCCCCAAATTTAGCACAATGTCTGGCACTTAATTCATGTTTAATAAATGCTAGCTGATTGATCTCATCATTCTAGAGCAATTTTCTTTAAAGATCTTTCTAGTTACAACAAGACTATTAGGTGACTAAGTATAATAATACTTCGTTTTATGTTTTCCATTTTTGTGAAAGCTTATACTTGGCAGAAGCACAATTTCTTTGGGCTACGATTCTGCAAGTCCAAGGCACCTTTTTGTGGCTGTTTGATAGATGTAGTGTCCAGCCCAAAGTGGCACTGACATATCTCAGAGAGGTGGAAGTGTGGCCAGGACATAAAAGGTGGAGGTTTGGATCCAGACAAACTATCATTCTCTGATGCCGTATACTCCGCACTCACTAGCATTTTCTGACATTAACCCAAGTAGACTTTTCTTCATCCCCAGCTCTGTCCTTGATGTTTTAAATTCTATTTCATAACTTTCTGGTTATCCTTTTGCACTAGTTACCGCTGTGAATTCTTGGTTCTCAATCTTGGAGTAGTGATTTGTTTGCTCCTCTTTTCTTTTTTCTCCAATTAGTAACTTGTATTCATGTCTTTTAAAAGAATCATAAGCATCATAATAATCATTGCCTAATATACCCCCATCCAGCTTTAAATCAAACAAAATTATAAACAAAAAAAACCTGACAAGGAGATGGCATTTGACAGTATATTTATCATTCTATATCCATCTTGATACCAAAAGGGTATGTTTCCTTTTCTTTTCTTTGGGAACAATCTTGGTCATTTCAATTTATCTCAAGTTGACTGCATTTTGGTGCTGTTTTAATTTACGTTTTTGTAGCTATTATATGTTATCATCTTGTTTCTACTTACTTTAATCTGCATCAAGTTATATGTCTTCCCCTGTTTCTTAGAATTCTTCATATTTGTCATTTCTTACAATCTTATTATATTCCGTTACATTCATATACTCCAATCTGTTCAGCTTTTCCCCAAAGGGCACTCGTGGTTTTTTTTTCCCCCACTTTTTTTTTTGCTATTGCAAAGAGTCCTACTATGAAATACACGTGTGTGTGTGTGTGTGTGTGTGTGTGTGTGTGTGTGTGGTCTTTCTCTTTTCTCATTCTTGTTGACCTCCTTAACATATTCCTTTCCTCCTGTTAATTATGCCTAATTGTGAGCTTCACTTGCCCTCTCCATTATTTCTGTGGAGGATGGAGAGGACCTTTAAGACAAATAGGAAATGGTCAAAGATTTGTAAGAAATTAGAAAGAAACTATGAAGACTCCAGCCCTGGGTCTCAGGTCTTGCTTATCTTGGTCAAACTCTAGAGAATCCAGATCTTCCTCAAAATAGATCCAGACACCTTTCTTTGCATCTGGGCCCCAGACTATCACTTTTATTACTTCTGAATTCCACCTGATCCCTAATTCCTAGCTAACAGCATAGAGCCTTCTATGTCATTCCTGAATTGCACATTGTCTTTTCCCATTGGAAATAAACCCTATAAAATCCACTTTTGTGGTTTGTAGTATGGAGATAGGGATAATAATGGGAAAGGGGTAGTAATATCAAACTAGTAATTAAGCATCACATCCAATTGAATCAATCAATAAATATTTATTAAGTATCTACTATGTGCCAGGCAATGGCAGCTAGATGGCTCAGTGAATAGAGTGCTTGGCCTAGGGTCAGGAAGACTTCAGTTCAAGTCAGGTCACACTTACTACCTGCGTGACCCTGAGCAGGTCACTTAACCTCTGTTTGTCTTAATTCACTGGAGAAGGAAATGACAAACCACTCCGTATCTTTGCCAAGAAAACCCTATGGACAGCATTGGCTTGTTATGGTCACAAACAGTCTGACAAGACTGAAAACAACAACAACAACAACAATGGATTAGGTAGTGTGCTAAGCTCCGGGGATAATTAAAAAGAGACAAAAGACAGTCCTTGTCCTCATTGAGCTCACAACCTAATGGGAGAGACAAGCAAACGAATATATACAAGATAAATAGGTCATAATTAATAAAGAGAAGTCACTAAAGTTAAGAGAGATTGGAAAGGCTTCCTGTAGAAGGTAGAATTTTAGCTAGAATTTAGGTTGGATTTGGATTCAGGTTTTCCTGACTCCAGGCCTAGTACTCTACACTGAGACACCTAGCAATGTATTGGTGTATAATCTATACCAGAAGTTTCCAAACTTATTTGGCCTACTGCCCCCTTTTAAAAAAGGTTGCTCAGTGCCCCCTAGAAATCTACTTTCTTTAACCCCTTAATGGTTTTTTGAAATTTGTGTCATTCCAAAAATATATACAGCATATTTTTTTAAAAGATGACACATCTTAAATTTAATAATTTATTGTAAATTTGTGAGTTTTTCCTGTATTGAAATTTTGATGATGAAACGTTACATCATATAGCCATATAGTATCACGTTGTAAATAAGTCATTACACTACACACTCATATTCCTGCTGATGCATCCTGGACTTCCTGACAATACGCTCTAGGCTGTGCTGCCAACACTTGCTTGTTAAGACCTGTCAGTGGACTTGACCACTGATTGGTTATAACTTGCATTTTGTGTATTTATTTGGAAAATCACTATGACTCAACTCTGTTACACAACAGATGAAACGTGTATGAACTGTTTTTCAAAAATTTCTTATCCTTTCTTTTTTCCTTATGCTTACAATGCCCCCTCATTTTTATTCAATGCCTCCCAATTGTACCTGAGGCTACTACCTTCCTCCTGGATCATTCCAGCACCCTTCAGGGGGT